CTTGATGGGTCTTGAACTTGATGGGTCTTGAACTTGATGGGTCTTGACAGATGAGTGTCACCAGGGCCACCTTGTCTGTCCACTTGTCCATCCTGATTTGGGGGGATGGTTCTGTCTCCTATGCACACCCTCCCTCTCCAGCTCCGACCCCCAGGTGGGTATACCCATGCCGGTGCACGCTTACTAGCCTGGCCTCACACCTGCTCACTGCCTCATTCTGAGATGAAACTCCATTCATAGTACTCTGTACCTTTCCTCCAGTAACTTTCTCAATCGGACGTAAAATGCCCCTTTTGGTTCTGTACCTCTTACTCTTAATGACCTAATTACAAGTTTACTTCTTCCTGAATAATATTGCTTCTAGCCTTGTGTATGCCTAACTTTACAGGTTAATATCTTCTAGTGAATAGTACTCAGTGCCTCTGCAACTGCTCTGTGAGACAGGTACTCTGGTCTCCTGGGTATCTGCAGGGCTCAGTCCGCACCTGCTCCAGACTTCTTCCGTGACAGCTCAAAGGAAAAGCCCTCTCCATTCTTACCACACTGATATGTCTCTCATTGGCACTTACTGCATTTGCATATCATATTTATTTATTTATATGCCTTCTGCTATTAAAATAGGGATTTGTCTGTTTTAGTCACTGCTAAATATCTAATGCCCGGAAGAGTGTCAGGCCCATAGTCCACACTAAGTGGGTATCTGCTGAATGAAGGACTCTCCTATTTACTTCTAGGCAGCAACCAAAGAGAGGCTCAGGAACTGGTCTGGTGTCACAAACCTTGTAAGTTCCAGGACCAAGATTTCAAACCACGTCTATCAGTTTGAGATCAGGTCTTTCCACCATACTCTTCGCCAGCTTTTACAAAAGGCCTTAATCATAATTGTCATGGTACAACGTCTGAGTTCTTTGCCCTGCTCCCTAAAGTCCTACACGGGCTGGTCCCTACCCACCTCGCTGGTCCTGCCTCCCTCCCCCTCATTCCTGCTCACTCCATCCTAGAGCTACACTGGTCTTCCTGCTGCTCCTCAAACGCCCCGTGTTCCCGTGCAAGAGCCTCGGCACCAGCTTTTCCCTCTGACTGGTCTTCTTTCATATCGAGGTCTGTCCGGATAGACCCCAGTTTCTATTCAAACGCCACATCCTCAGGAAGACTCCCTCTCAGCACTTTGGCTTAAAGAGTCCTTACCCCACACCCAGGGCTGTGTTGGAGGCGGTCCCACCAGCTTGCAAGAGCCAACTGTGCACATCTCTTCCCAGTCCCGTGTCCAGAGATCACATATTGGCACATGACAGCCACCGTTGTGGGAGAATTCACGCAGTGGAAATCGGCAAACACCACAGACCCAGGATATTGCTTGTGTTGTTCCGAGAGCTCGCCCCTCAACATTTATGAGGATGCCGGCTATGTCCCTTCTCATTGTGTTCCGTGTCCTCACCTTGATTTGGTTTTCTTTACTTGTCACTACCTGAGATAATTCGATTTACGTCTTGCCTGTTTCTGCCCTAGAATGAGAGACCTGCAAGGACAGCATCTTTAATTTGTTCCCTGCAGTGCCGCAGCGCCCATGTGCATAATCAACAACTGTGGAACGTGTGAGTCACCACCTAGCGTCTTGTGAATGGAGTCTGTGGCTTGGACGGAGTATTGCATGTGCGTGGATGTTCTCATTTGGTCCTTTCAGCTCCTACCTTACCCGTTTTAGGGAAACTAAGACTAGGGGAGGACAAGGGAGAAAAACAAACCAACAACAACCCAGCAACAGAACAGCCCTTTCTCAAGGCCCTGCCGTAGGTCCAATGGAAGACTAGGATTTTGAACCCAAGTCGGCCAAGTACCATATCGTCTGAACTTGAGTGGTCAGCATCTCAGTGAAACTCTTCTGGAAGAGGAGCCCCCTCTGTGTCTGTCCCCTCCACAGGCGCCCATGCTCCTGGGGAACAGAGCACACCCGGCGATTGAGGGCTCGCTTATTGTGGGGACTCAGGAAGCAGGTTCCCGCAACAGTCCTGATTTATAGCATCTTGCTCCGCGGCCCTCACAGTTCTGCTCACATTTGCTCACACTAACTCTTCTGACTGCAGTTGCTGGGCCGAATGAAGACGTGAGTGAGTGAAGGTCTACCTGGTTCCAGACAAGCTATTTTCATCACAGATGTGTTTTTCTTGGTGCCTTCCCATCCCCCCACCTCAGATTCCACGAGGCAAACTGTAAATGCTGCTTAGCTGTCCAACTGGAGGAAGTGTGGAGAGAAGGAGAGGGTTACAAAGCAGAGGGCGAAAAGGTCTTCAGGTCTGTCTTGCGTGACAGATGAACCTGAAATGTTTCTCCTGCTGGATTTATCGGGCCGTCTCGGACACTACTGCATCCGCATGTATTCCTTGAGGTGAACGTATCATTCAGAAACAAAGAGAGCCCCTTGAACTTGGGTAGCAAACGCTACCCCATCTTGGAGGGACCCACCTGTTCCCGCCCACTGGGGAGCTCTACAAGAGAATGACCTCATTTTTTTGTTAACCCTCTGACTTTTCTCGTATGTTTTCATTTTTTTCTTTAATTTTGGAGGAAGGCAGACTTAGAAATACATCAGTCCGCCTAATTAGGTAGTTCCGTCCTCATTCTTATGCTAAATGTGTTTCGAAGCTACTGCAAAGTCTCCAGCTAATTCTGTGTTTTTTTCTGACATAGCTTGTGGCCACACCACCTGCTTCTACTTCATTTCACAAAGAAGACTCAGCACAGATGTCTTCAGGGACCTAGGAAGTCTCGATTCTGTCTATAGAACCGTAATAACATTCAACAAAAGAAAACTTTGGCTATTGACCTTCTCTGCCACCTACCAGCTCCCACCTCTGCAATTTGTCTGACTCTTTTGCCTGCAGAGAAAATGCAGCTCGAATGTGCAGAGGTGGGCAGACTTCTCTCCTCCGCAGTTAGAGACGGAGAGAAGAAGGGCCTTTGAAAGAGAATGCCTTGGGTGGCCACTTTGGCATTGTGACGTGGGCATGCAATTGGTTACTTACAGATTCTCCTGAAAGGTCAGGACTGCAAGCTTTTGGTGCTCCATATAAAAGAAGGCCTCAGAAAACCTTCGGACCTGAGGAATAAGATCGCATGAACAGTTTAATTCACGGGACGGACATTACCTTGATTTTCCAAAGGGAAACTGACAAAGGAGAGCTGAGCCCACCCCCCCCCCCCCCCCCCCGGGCCTGAAACAAGTGCTTCCGCAGGTGTCCTCTCCTAGCCCAAAGCTGGTTTAGGGACACAGTTTAATGCAGATTTGTGAACCCATTCTTACACTGCTTTCTATAATTTGTTTATGTAGGTCTTATCTCTTCTACTAGAAGACACTTGAAAACCGTGACCATAAGTAAATGCAGAGGAAACAGAACTGGCAACGCCAGTCATGTAAGTGCATCCACAAAGTGCTTTGCGGACCCAGATCTTTGGTCTTCTTGCTGTAAACGAGGAGACCGACATCTATTATGCATTAGTACCTGTCCATACGAACCCAACCTGGTGGCAAAGAAATACACCAAGAAAAATGTCTGACATTTGAAAACACTTCTCCAAAATACTTCCGGAGCATTTGGAACATCCCTCATGCTATCATCTAGTAGCCAAGACAGATATTTTACGAATGGCGGAGGTCAAGGTTTCAGAGGATGAACCAGTTCATAGAGTCTCACCGAGAGCTCAAGGTGGAGCCAGGACCGGCACACGCAGCTACGGAAGTAAACCCAAATTCCTGTTCTGCCCAATGAACTAACTGTGGGAAAGCTCCCTCAAGGGAACACTGGCACGTGATTAGAGAATTTATACCACTTGACACCTTACCCTCAAGGTGTGATGTTCCTGGGTGAGATAAGAGGTCACCTGGGAGTGTAGAGTCACTGTGTCTAGGAACTGGGTCCACAGAGCCATCAGTTGGGAGGTGAGCCAGGCGAGATCCTTACTTATCTGCTCGGCTATCTTCTCGGGATTGTTCAACATCTGGAGAGGCAAAATGGTGGTAGTAAAGGACCTCTGCCCTGGGGAGCTACTGCAGACTTCCTCCTAAAACCTTCGCTGACTTCCCTGCTGTTAGGGAATCTCTCCTTCCACTGGACTCTGTATCATATTACATTCTGAGCTCAGTCCTCCTCAATCATTACAGTATCTACTTCTTCAGGGTTACTGTTTGGCAGGTGGAACACTAGACATTTTGTGTGTGCTCCCCTTTTCATGCTCACCTGTTACCCTTTTAGTAGAGTTATTGCATATCATTTCACAAGGAAAATAAAATGAGAATCAGAGGAATTGAGTAGCCCAGCCAAGGCCACACAGAGCTGGGATTCAGGGGCACAGCTGTCTAACCACAGACCCACAGCACCACGGCGCCTTTCCATAATAGGTGTTGAAAACACTTCCTGAGAGATGCTAACGTCTTTATAACCTCAGAGTACCTTAACTAGTTAGGTGATTTGCACAGGGGTGTGGGGGGCTGCTCAACAGCCCTACCACCATCTTCCCACAATCACTCCAAATAGCTTCAGGGGGGATCTTGGGTTGCCTTAACTACAATTTGAAGATGCCAGGCCAGAGAGGGCCTCGCGCCTTTGAAGGAACCTTTGGGTAGCTTTAGTTTAGAACAGGGAGGCCATCCGCTGGGGGACGGGGCAGACTTTGATTCTGGAGGGGAGATCAAGTCTCAGAGGGGGAAGGCAGAGAGCCAGGTGTCAAAGCCTGACACTGAGTGGTAGACCCCATCATTTATTCAACAAGCCCTTAATGTGCGTCTTCCATGTCCCAGGCACGTGTTTTGAATAAACGGGGACACAAAGTTGAATAAGGGAGGGTCTCTGCTGGAAGGGAGCCTCACTGGGCAGAGGCGATAGGGAAGTGAGTTAACAATTGGGAGTAACGGGGATCGCTCTGTCATGGAAGACACATCAGGGACAGACAACCATAGCCGTTTCAAGCCTATCTCTGCTCTCCTTCTCTGCTCCATGCCTCAGTTTCTTCAACCGTAAAATGGGTATGCAAAGCAAATGGAGACTTATTGGATGTAATAACAACAGGAAAAGTAAGTTGAAAGCCTTGTTTACAACAGTAGAAGTTCCTTTTGCTATTCTTGGACTAAAGGCTGTTGTTAGAGGAAGGCAGGTGGGCTGGAGCAAGGCATCAATCTAAGAGGAAGAAAAAGAGGGAAGGACGAACGTGGGACCCAGTAAGGTTTTTCAGTTCTTGGGTATTGGTATTTTATAATGAAGGACTGGCTGCCAGATATAGGGCATCAACCAAGTGGGGCATTTCCAAGCTGCTTCTTCCAAGAGGAAAGGTCAGTCTTTGATGAATAATCAAAGTTCAGTCTTAGGCAACATAATTTTGCCAGCTCCAAAGCTCCAAAGTGGGAGAACGGCCCTACTTTCTTCTGTTGGAAGGCTTACTTCCTGCACCGGCTCTGTTGGAGGGCAAGGGTCAAACTGGGACTGTCCACTCTTGGTTCAGCCCTACAATCTGTGGCCAGAGGTGTTCAGAGGCAGAAAACTGAGCAATGCGTTGGGGAGAGTGGGAGACGTGGTCAGACCCTGGAAAACCTCCAGGCTATAACGTGAGGTTTTGGGTGGGCCAGAAGTGGCTCCTCTTTACCAGTTACCCTCGCTAATGAGCACCAAACACCTGCATCAGCGCTTGGCACCATTTTACCCCCGATGCCATGGCCTGCCTTATCTCTGGCTACCTTCCCTCTGGCCCAGGGCACACCCTGCTCCAACCACACTGCCTGCTCACCGTGGCCTGAACGCACCCCGCTCCTTCCACATACCAGGCTGTGACCAGACCGTACATCCTCCTTGGAAGGCCTTCTCCTTCCATCTTCCAGCTTCTCTTCTCCCTCTCGTCACCACTTTGGGCATGTCTGCTCTCCACCGGGGGACAGTTTAAGGAGCCAACATAGTCCCCTTTGTTTCTGATGATTCTTTAGAAATGTCTACTCTGCTTCAAGGGTAAGTCTATCTTCCTGTCCTTGAAGTCGACTTGACCTTGCACACACCACTCTCAATGCACCACTGGCCAGACACTGTTCCTACAACCCTCCTCTGCCTACATTCTGAGTGTTAGGCTTCTCCATGTTCCTAGTAACCACGCGGTGGTGGACGAGTCGTGGGGATTCGGTAACTCTTTATTGAAAAATCTGGTGACTGCATCAATGAGAGGCGCCCCGGGCCTCAATAACTGGACTTCCCTTACTGGGCTGCTTACTCCAGCCCCCACAGCTCTCCCACCACCACCGCAGTGGAGCCAGCAAACACAGCCTGAATTCTGAGCTCAGCCACTGAAGTGAAAAGGAGAGAAAGCAAAGCCACTCATTGAATGTGTCTTTGGGAGAACGATTTCTTTCCCCTCGTTGATCACAGAAATGGCTTCAGATAAGGTTAGGGAAGCTTCTAATTAGGCCACAAGAGGACTCTTCGCCTGGGCCTGTGTAATTACAGATGATGGGCATGGAGGGGCTTCTCACGCAGGACCAAGAAGAGGCCCTTCATGTGAGCAAGGACACAACTGGGCCCGACGCTCTTTCAAGTGAAGCTGCCTGAAGAATGCTCAGCCACTCACCTTGGCCACCCCTGCCACACTTCTCATCCTCGCCAGCCACTCACCTTGGCCACCCCTGCCACACTTCTCATCCGCGCCAGCCACTCACCTTGGCCACCCCTGCCACACTTCTCATCCGCGCCAGCCACTCACCTTGGCCACCCCTGCCACACTTCTCATCCGCGCTCTAACCCTGCTCCTTTGTTCACTCCTGTCCCCCACCCGCTCTGTTTATCCAGCGACTGTTATATGCAAAGGGGTATGCTGGGCTCTGGGGAGCCACAGATAAATACAGCCAGTCCTGGAAGAGGCAGATGGCTCAGTGACCGCCATTTATTTAGAGACTTATAATACACCTACAATGTGCTATGAAAGAGATACATACTGAGTGCTGTCAAAAGATCACGGAGGCTTCCTGGAGGCGGTGATACCTGTGCTATGATCTCAAGATAAATAAAAGCCTCTATACATTCCCCGAACTAACCATGTTCCCTAATACCCAGAGCCTTGCAGTCACAGCAGATAACCCTCTGTAACGAGCCAGGTACCTCTGGGTCCGTGGACCTCCACATTCGAGGGGAGAAGGCCAAAGCCTGATTCCTCAGTGGGGATGCTTGGGGGCCCTGCAGTTTGGGGGGGGCACCCTGGGGAAGGGAAACCAGGCTGAGGAGAGTCAGACTCTGTGCTCAGCCTCATGGCATGGCAGATCGGGGCGTCCCAGCTGCATGGACATCTCCCGGGTAAGTGTTTGAAACGCAGAATCTCCCGCCCTAGCGCAGATCAAATTGGAATCTGTATTTTAACAAGTTTTCCAGGTATTTCGTATGCATATTCAAGTCTGAGAGATTCTAAAATTGCACAGAGATATGGATGTTACCCAAACGCATTGCCTTTAGCCGAGCTCTGGCACTCCCTGGCTACTCTAAATGACCAGAGCTGGGAGGTCCCTCCAGAGTTCTGTCCACAGGGGACTGTGGCTGGCCAGGGAAGAAGTCACTGTGATCACAGGGGACAAGCACTCACTACACTTTTACTTTCCTCTGCTAGGGAGCTCGGCTAAAAAGACCTACATGCCCAAACATACACACCAAAGCAAGGATTCAATAAGAAGTCATGTAACATCCTTGTCAGTGGGATCATTGTTCTGAACCACATCACAGAGATGTTTTCAGTCTTAGGCAAAATAATTTTAAAAACCCTCAGACAAGGCAATTGGCCAAAAAAAAAAAAAAAAATCTACACAATTAAGTAGACAAAACAAGCAAAACCCCAGCCACCCCAACTGGTAGCTGTTCATTTATGCCCAATAACTAATTTTTAGTATTTCCTGCTAGGAGGGTACAGCTCGAGGAAAGACCATTCAGCAATTCAGGATCTCCTAGAAGTGTATGAGGGCAACCCAGACAGAATCTTTTCTATGACAACAAGTCCAGTCTTGCTGAATTCTTTAAAGAAAATTGGCAATTGCTTTCAGGTAGTCAATCAGCATGTGTTGAGCCTGTCTCTTGTACCAAAGCATGAGGCTGAGTTCCACTGGAACCTTCCCATTTGGGTAGAGAGCACACCGCCATCAGACTGCACAACAGGGACCTTACCCTGTGCCCCCACTCACATCTCCAGCCCAGCCCCCACCACAGGCTTCCTGTGCTCCATGCACTTCGCCCTCCATGCACTTGGCCCATCCGCTCAGCTCAGTGGATCCGTGCTCTGGAACTGTGTGGCTGTTCCTTCCCTGTCATCTGGCACACTCAGACCCCTTCACAGCTAGCCTCCCGGAGAGCCGGGTGCCTGTCGTCTTACACCCGCTGGTCGAGCCCCTGACCGTACTGGCAGCTTCTGAACAAGCCTCTTCCTCCTGAGGCTGCTAGTCCTGGGAACGTGTCTCCATTGTATTCCCAACACAGAGCAAAGTGGCCAGCATACAGTAGGTGCTGAGTAAGTGTTTATAGGATTCAGTTGGAATAAAGATACATGCAAATTGCTCCATGACTACAGAACTCTATGTTTTCAAGTTCTTTTAAATCAGAGAAACCTTTCCATGCCTACTCCCCACCCATCCCCTTTGATGGACGGTTCCCCACCTGGTGTGGCTGGCCACTGGGTGGCGATGTCCTGCCTCTAAATGTTTGGTGGGCTTTGAGTGCCCCTTGGGGGGATGTTGGGGAGGGGGCTCTGTTTCTGTCACTGTGAGCATTAGGGCAGCTCTCTAGCAAACAACAGAATGGGCTGAAGCCCACCCCCACTCCCTGGTTCCCTCCCCATCACCCACTGGTATCCCTGCATCAGTAGGCTAATTTGATTGCTCTGTACAAAATTAAGCCTGCAGCAATACAATCACTCAAAACCAGGGGCAGCATCCCTGCAGCTTGGGGGCCCGGCGCCAGAGGAGGAAGGTAACCCATTCGTTGGCTTTTCATGACACGTATCGGATAGACTCATTGGCACCCCGAGTTCTCACCTGAACCACTGCAGGGACCAGATCATCAAAACAGCAGTGGCCCCCGAGCCCACCCCTTAGTGGTTCAGAGGAAGCTACCCTTCAGAGTCCTCTGTGGCAAAATGACTGGGGACACATCTGTGTGTTCCCCTGTATTCTCAGGGCTGCCGGGAGGCAGTGCCCGGTGCCTGAAGGTGGGAGCCAGAAGCCAGCAGGTGGAAGCGGACGTTGTCATTGCTTCAGCTGTAAACGCCATTAGCCACCTTTCTTTTCTGCCTCAAGACACACCCTCCTCCTCCACACAGCCCCCAGCAAGCTCGTCACTCTCCTGCCTGGCTCCCTGTCACCTGGGGGTTAGCCCAAGCTCTGCACACTGTGCAGGGCATTCAGGCTCCCCGTCAGAGCCTCAGTGACCCCCGCCTCCCCTTCTGAGAGCCCCGCTCACGGATGCACACTCACTGCCTGACCCCAGGTGCTCCCCCAGCCTTGCCTTCATTGCCTGCCCTGTCCTCTTATCGGAGGCCATGAGGCTTTCTCCCACACAGCCTCCCCTCTGGGGCCCACTAGCACCTGCCTCCCCATAGAGAGTTAGTGACACATCCTCCCCGGGGCCCCACAGCCACACGCATGTCTGTGTCCACATCTGCAGCCTGCGAGGCGCACCAGGACAGGTCCAACAAGGGATAGAGGTACCGTGTGCACGTGTGAGCTCATTTCACCCTCAGAGCGGCCCACCACACGTGGGAAACCAGCCACCCAGAGGGGACATGGCCTGTCCAAAGTGGACAGCCAGCCCGCACCCTCAGGACAGCGCTGCGCAGCTCACACAGCAGTGGACTCTGGCCACTGTCCCTCCGTGGCGCGCGACGGCACAGCAATGCCCAGGGCTTGGTCAGATCAGTGAGTGAGCACGTCGACCCCTGCCTCCTTCTGCAGATGAGCCAACGGCCTTGGGGTGAGGACAGCTGCTCTGGGGTCACTGGCTTCCTCACCTTTGGTAGCATGTAGCATTCTTGTGACGCATTAGTGCATTCATTCATTCCAGCAATGAACCCTTCTAGGCACCGGAGCTTCGAGAGTGAACGAGTCACCCCTCTCGGCTGTGTGCCCCCAAGGGAAGGGGGTCTCTGCTGAGTCGCACGGGACCTAACACAGGGCCTGGCGAAGTATGGGGACTCACAAAGCGTTTGCTGCAATGAATCAACTCTCTAGAGTAGTTCCCACGGAAACACTGACCCTTTGTGGTCATGAAGACAAGAGCAACATGGGGGCCTTTTAACCTTATTCCCCGAGGGGCATGTGTGGCACCGGAAACTCTTTATGGCCAGGGAAGTGACAAGCCAGAGGGCAGTGATAATTGTACCAAGCAAGACAGTTAGCATTTTCTCCATTCACTGCCCTGCCGGGCCGTATGCAAAGACTTCACAGACTCTACCTGTGTTCTCTGCAAAGGATGATTCTGCTTCCCCGGATGGAATCCTGGTGGGGAGGGCGGGCTCCGGCGTCGTGGTGACCAGCAATGACCCTGTTCGGCCAGTGCTGTGACTCTGGGCAAACAACCCACCCTCTATGAGCTGAGTCCTGATTCTCCATCCCGTGAGAACAACGGGATCCCTCCCTCCATAGAACAGCTGTATACATTACATGAGGAATGCGCACCACGCACATAAAAACAGCAGTCAGCAGCCAGTCAGGGTACGAGCTTAGTGACTCAGAGAAAAAGAGGTTAAAAAAACCGAGCCATTTTATCTCCACTTTACAGATATGAACATCAAGGTCCATAAAGTCTAAGCAACTTTTCTAAAGTCGCACGGTAAGTAGGTAAGGAATTCAAAGCCGCTGGCTCTGATGTGACCACTTTTGCAACATGTCATGACACCCCATCACTTCCACAGTCCCCCAACCCACTCATCACCCAGTGAGGTCTAAGAAGAAACAGGGAGCAGCCCCTGACCTGTCCAGAGGAGCGAGCACAGCAGGAAACTGAGGCAGTGGGCAGGGCGCTGTGCAGTCTGGAAGTGTGAGCCCCGGCTCCCTGCACCACTCACTGGGTGCCCCGGCCAAGCACTTCCAGAAAGGCAAAGTCTCAGTGTTTACTGGGAGGCCAGAGGAGAGTCTTCAGGACAAGCATTTAACCTGCTCCTGGCCCCAGAGCGTGCCACGTCAATGCTGGCAGTCCTTGCTCGTGGAGGTGTGGATGCTCCGGTGAAAGCACCGCGGGCTAGCCTGTCTTCCTGGGCTTCAGGAGAGAAGCTTCTGGAACCTGAGTGAAACAGGCACTGCAACCAGCAGAGAATCCATAGGGCACCCCATCTCTTTCTGCTCATCATGTTGGTAGCGACAGGAAAGATGGTGGGTGTGGTATATAACAGCTATTAAGAGTTGGCGTTTTTTTAAACTGCTAAAACTCAACTTTCGATGACTTACAGATTGCAAGTGTCTCCTGGGGACACTGAGGAGTATCCAGGCTGGGAGGGATGGGGCCTGAGGAGGGCCAGCCCTGGAGGGCAAGGACAGCTCTGCACCGCAGACCCGTGAGCCGGGCATTCACAGGGCCCTCTCGTGAGCTCTCTCCTGTCTCCCCACAATAACCACGACACACAGATGAGAAATCTGAGGTCCATTAAGATCCTATATCACACGTCCGGGATCACACAGCTGATGTGCAGAAGGGCTGGAGCCTGGACTTGAACCTGCAAAGCCTATGGGCTTTTCCAAGGCAATGCTGCCCTGGGTGCCCTCCGGGGCGGACGGGGGAGCTGCGGCCCCCCGAGTCTTCGGCCCTGTGGTCAGCTTAGCCAGCCCCCTGGTGCACTGCATCCTCCGCCTCCGCCTCCGGGTTTAGGGAGTGGATGCTCCACACACTGGCATCCAAGTCCTCGGCCAGCCTTAGGTTTGCCTTCCACACTCTGTAAATGGACTTCTTGTGTCCTTCACGTGTCCCCAACTTTATTAGGAGCAGTGCCTGTGATGTGACTCCTTGATGATCCCACCCTTTCTTCAGGGCTCACTTCAAAGGGCTTCTCTGTCCTAGACCCTCCCCCACCCCAGCGACAGGCACCTGCTCTGTGCTTTGCCTTCCTACTGGACTGCCGTCTCTCCACAGTAACACTGAGCTTCACTGACTTTATAACGTGCTCTAAAGCAGGGGTTCTCGACCCTGGCTGCACAGTATACTCATCTGGGGAGTTTCTTCTTTCTACAATTTTTCTTCCAGTTTTACTGAGATATAACATTATTGACATATAACATTATGTACATTGAAGGGGCTCAACATAATGATCTGATAAATGCATCTATTGTGAAATGATCACCACAATAAGGTTCGTTAACATACCCATCACGTCCCATACTTAAAATGTTTTCCTTGCGATGAGCACTTTTAAGATCTATACACTTAATCACTTTTAATTACACAGCACAGTACTGGTAACTTTAGTCCCCACACTGCGTGTTCTATTCCCAGAATTTGTTCATCTTATAACTGGAAGTTCGTACCTTTTGACCACCTCCACCCATTCCCCCATCCTCTGTTCCTATGAGTTAGGTTTTTGTTTGTTTGTGTTAGGTTTCACATGTAAGTGAGATCATATGTTACTTGTCTTTGTCTGACTCTATTACACGTAGCAGGATGCCTTCAAGATTCATTCACATTGTTGCAAATGGCAGGATTTCCTTCTTCTTATGGCTGAGTAGTATTCCACCATACAGATACACCACATTTTCTTTATCCATTCACCTGTAGGTGGACACCCAGGTTGTTTCCATGCCTTGACTATTGTGAATAACACCGCAGTGAACACGGGGATGCAGACGTCTCTGCAAGACAGTGATCTCATTTCCTTAGATCTATACTCAGCAGTGAAATTGCTGGATCATCAGGTGGTTGTATTTCTAAGTGTCTGAAGAGCCTCCATACTGTTTTCCAGGGTGGCTGCTCTGGTTCCCATTCCCACCACGGTGCTGGAGAACTCCCTTTCCCCCACATCCTCTCCAGCACGTGACATCTCTGGTCTTCTCACACTGTCACAGGTGTGAGCTGGAATCTCACGGTGGTTCCGATCGAGCTGGGGAGATTTTACTGAATACAAATGCCCGAGCTCCGCTCCCCCATATTCTGTCTCACTCGGTTTAGATAGGACCTGGGCAAAGGTACATCTCAGAAGTCCCAAATGTGTTTCCACTGTGCAGCAAGGGTTGAAAACACTGGTGTGAGAGACGACGATGAGACAGTCTTCTGAGTCCAGCTGCCAGCCCTGATGAGCACCGTCACCAAGCCTGACTGCCACACTGGTTTCCATCTTCATTTGCTTCTTGATACGTAAGGACGACGTGCAGTACCCACCCAGACCATCCACGCAATGGGATGGAAAAGTGTTCCAGAGACTGCAATTAACAGCAGTATGCATTTGCCAAGTGCCTATTTAAGGATGTATTCTTAGTAGATGCTCGGTGAGTTTGGGGCAGATGCACACTACTGTTTCCTTCATCAGCATCATCCCGCTGTTAGCCTCCTGCCATGGCTGAGGCTGTCTGGCCACAGGCATTGCCCTCCAGGAGAAGCACATGGTTGGTAGTCAATACATTTTGTTAAATGGATGAGTAATAGACAAATGTAACCTCAGCTCCAGGGACAGAGACCTGTGAACCTGTTTATTTTTTCCAAAACATCTAGCAGAGAGCTAGACATACAAGAGAGGTCTAGTGGACACTTAGTAACAAAGAATGGCAGAGTATCTCTTCAGTTTCAGGTCTAACTGCGTTTATAAGCCCTGTGCTCTCATCTCTGATTTCTACATCGAGCGGGGACCTATGTTGGTCCTGTATCACAACTGCCCTTTCATCCCACAGGGCTGGTTTTTTAATTACCTGTAGCTCTGAGCACAGCTGAGAGAGTGTTTCCTCAACAGCAAGGGGCTCTAGGAAGAAACAAAAGATGCACAATAAAATGGACACCCACTGAAATGCGGTGGTTGCTAAGTACAATAAAGAAGCATATGTTCAAGTTGGCATTAAAGTCACAGAAAGAAACACAACTCCCAAGGACTCTCCTCCTTTCTATTCCAACTTCCTAAAGGGGTCATATTTAAAAAAACGATAAGACTGATCTGGAGCCATGTGACTGCACACTAGATGAAGGTCAACATCATCTCCTGGATGCCTCTCTGAGAAACAGAAGGCCTCCACGTTCACACAGCACTTTGTGTGATTCAAAGGGGTCCCACATTCTTTTGGGATTTTGCAGGTATGTGCACGCAGGTGTGCACACACCTGCACATACACCCATGTGTGTGACACGTGTGGGGCATGGATTCGGATCTCCATCATACAGGTGAATGTGGGGAAGCACAGAGAAGTGAAGTGAAAGAGCTGAGCCCAGCTCCACCGACTCTGAAACCCACGATCATCACAACCCATGGAGGAGCCTGTGATCTCAGCTCTTATCAGCAGGAACCTCTGGCCTCTGGCCATTTGGGATTCCATGTTCGCAGCTCTGCCTGTCTTTGAACTCTCTCATGCAGTCCTATGATGCTGCGGTCAGTGATTTGCACTTGGCTTTGGCATGAGTTCTACTTAAAATGTTGCTGCCCAGGTGAGTGGGGGCAGTCCCTCAGTGCCTCCGGATCCTCACTGACGGCCTGATGACACATGCCTGTCCCCCCCAGCACTTTCGTCAGCTGAGTCCCACCAGGCACAGTGGACTTTTGTCATGGCTCTGTCCCTGGCGTCTGGCACATAATAGATGCTCAATAAAAGTATGGTCATAAATGAATGAGCAGACACATTCAGTGCCTTTGGGTAAAAAGAAGTTAAAGCCAGAAGCCAAGGAACACTGCACAATCTCCATTTTCCCTGTGAGCAATGTAAACGGGCTCTGATTCTGTGTGCGTCTTTTTGTGTGTATAACATTTGAACCTGAAAAAAAAAAAAAAAACTGCAGCTTCACGACTGCATGATTCAAAGAGTAGTGCCTGACTTGTCCAGGGTGTTAGAGCTAATAAGGCCAGAAGGGAAGATGGCAGGACAATTCATCAGCAGCAATGCATCTACTCCTTCACCCTACCTGCCAGGCACTGTGCACAAGGGATCTGACGGGGGCCTCTGCTCTCAAAGACCCTGCATCTAGTGGGGAAGAGAAACATGCAAATAAGTCATTGTCGTGTGGTGTTTTCATTGCAGGAATGGACACTGTACAAAGCCCTAAATCCTGCCAAAGCCATGACTGTCTCAGTAGGTGAGGTCTGGGGTGTGGGTGGGGAAGCTGAGGCACGCTGGCAGGATTGTGCTTAACCTTGAACCAGGCTCAGGACCTGGCTTCAGTTCTGGAAGCAAAGGGGCCCCAGTAGAGGACTGTTAGCAGAATCACACTGTGTCACCTGCTGTCAATGAGTGGGATGATCTAAGGGATGCTGCCCCAAGGAGCTCTGTGTAGGAGCTCTGTGCTCTTGCTTTGATTCTGCCCTGTATTGCTGTGTGACCCTGAGCGGTCACTTGCCCCTCTCTGAGCTTCGGTTCTGACACCTGTCAGCAAAGAGGGATTCAGGCCCAATGATCTCCATGATGTCTGATGATGTGCATGAAGCTATTTATCCCCAGAAAACCAAAGATGATGGCTGCTGAGAGGTTTCTATAATCATGCAGATTTTTATATATATATATATATATATATATATATATATGCATATATACACACAAATACATAATATATATGAAAGATATATACAAGTATATATTTGTGTATATATGTATAGTATATACAGAATATACATATGTTCTTTTGGGGGTTGTTTTCCACTCTTGTCAGTTGCCATCCTGTAACTACTTTCCCTTCGCAAGCAACTTGACATTGTGTGTAATAGTGACAGACGTGTGGCAGGTGTTCAGTAAATGCCTGCTGGGTGAATGAATGCATGAGTGCACGGGCCTCAGGGTGCTCCTGCCTTTTCTTCCTGCATATGCACGCCCGAAACTCCCTCCTGCTAGAACGAGGTAACGCGGAGAAAACGGACCTGGAATGGCACCTGTCACTGGGACACTGACAAAACCGCAAGCTTTCTCAAGTCTGGCCCCACACGGGGCAGGTGGGCCGCCGGCTTGAGGAGTCCCCTGGGCCCAGCCCCTTACCCAGCTCCATGTGCGGCAGCTCCGGGATGTCCCTCATGATGACCAGGAAGTAGGCGCGGAGCCCCCGGTAGGCGTGTAAGAGCAGGAAGCACAGCTCCCGGTGCCACCGGTGTGCGCGCAGCATGCAGTTCTCGGACGGCACGTAGAAGCTCCCCTGCGGGCGGGACAGACACAGATGCTGAGGGCCACCCCACGGGGCATCTCGGAGAATAGCTGTGCAGGGCTTCGCAATCCCGGAGAAGAGAGAGTTTGAGTCCCTCCCCCACCTCTTCGTCTGGGAAAAACACTGCAACCAGTCGAGGCTCTGTCTTATGTGTTCATGTTAAAATAATAATAATAAAAAAAAAGCAATAGTAAGAGTCGTAATAACAATAAGGAGCAGGATGGTACCGACCTGGAAGGTCTGAGACAACCTCAGGGGACCCACTCCCAAGCCCTCGCTCCCTGGCCCTGCACGGCGCATCACAGGAGATGGGGGATGGGCAGGAAGGTTTCCTTTCGTGGGGAGAGGAGGAATTTGTAGAGATCCTCGTGGGAGTTGGGTGAGCGGTACATAATGCCGAGAGGAAGGAAGACACACTGCTGCTAAGATGTGAGGTTAGATACTCAGTGCCGGCAGTGCCTTTGGGGGCTCTGCACATTGTCATTTGCTTGCAGATGTCGGGCCCAAATGGGGTTTGTGCGATGAGGAAAAGGTGGCCAAGTCCACCGTGTACCCGGAGAGCCAGACACAGTGGAAGAGAAGATACAATGTCTTGGGGTAAATTTCTGGAGGGATTGGTTTTGGGGGCAGAGGAAAGAAGCCCCCAGGGAGGGCAGCAGAGGAGGGGGGTGCCGGTACTGGGCTGGAGAATTCCATGGATGTGGGACCTGCCTGTCCATCTACTGCTCACGCAGCTGTGAAGGGAGGAAGCCAATGGCTCTTCATGACCCCGCACTGCTCTCCCTGTCCTGCCGTAGGCAACTCCACATGGGGAGCTGGTAGAAATGCCCCCTCTGGGTTCTCATGAGCTGGTGATGTGGCAGCCTCCTGCCTCATTTGGTCTCCTTCCTTGCTGCCATCAATGAGAACTGAGTTGGTCCACGGGGGCAGGACAGGTCTGATAGGGGTCAATGGCCATCCGCATGTCATCTGCAGTCCCAATGGTGCCACGAGGGATGACCATGGGTGTGTTGTACTCGTGCTAATCACGGCGTCATGATGAGTGGGTCACACAAGGTGCTACACATCGGGAAAGCGGGATGCAGGTGTCACCTAGCTCTGAGATGATCATAAGTCAGGTCCCTAGGAAGAAGACTCTTAGACAGAGCTGTGCCTGCAGGAGATCCTGGGTGTGGGGTTGGGAGCAACTCTGTGGGAGAGTAGGATGGGGCAGAGGGAAGAGCTACACCACACTGTCATGCAGCCCAGCAGAGACCTCGGTCCCTCCCACGAGGAGCTCTGGAGCTACAGGGCCCGGTGGCCTTGGAGGAGGGGCCAGGTCTCTGCACCCATGCATTGACCATTACTGAGTATGGGTTACCTCGGGAACAGGTGTGCTCTTGGTCAGCAGCAATCTCCAGAAAGAGGCTTGGCCGATTGCTGTTGGCTACCGACATCCTCGGCAGTGTGAGGGAATGAATGACTCGGGCCTGAGAAGGGAACCTGGGCAGTGCACCACCGCATCCACTGGAGAGGCCCTCAGTGGACCCTCGGCTCCCCGGGGGCTCCACTGAAACCTGCATTCCGAGGCCACCAGCTCCCTTTTGATTCAGGTTTATGAGAGACATTCAATGAGGTCTGGAATCAAAAGACTTTTCCATTTCATAAGCAGAAAATCCAGTCAGTTAGGCACTCGAGGTAATCCATGTACTCTGATTTGTCATCGTTCCTAGTATGTTAGGAACAGAAGTTAGTGCAGTTGTAGAAAGACAAGTGGAGCTTGTGCATAGCAGGGTGTGTGTGTCGGACCCCCCAGACCTATGGAGCAAGAAGGAGTCCACTGTTCAAGAAGCATCTACATACGCCCCTTACCTTGATCTCTCATTTGCTGTTCAACAAACAGCATACAGAACAGATGCTCTCATTTTGACTTTCAAAATGAGAATAGGCATATGGTAAAAATCTCAATATTACCAAAGGAAACACAACACAAAGTGCCTCATTCCCCAGAGTCTGGTAATTTCTTGTGGATCCTTCGAGAATATGTCCATATGCGTATGTGCATAGATGTTTTATGTGCATTTAATATACGAATGGGTGTCCTGGAAACACACACACACTCGCAAGTTGAAAAATGCCCTGGACGGTTCTTAGTTCCTTGCTTTTATCACTTACCATGCCCCCAAAATTCTTTCTAATTAGATCAAATAATAAGTGGTAGGAACTCCAATTTCTATTTCATACATCAAAAGACTGTGGGTCAGAGAATCAAATGACTTGTACCATTTCACCCTGCTTTGCCCGCAGAAGAAGTGATTCTCCAGTTCAGGTGCTAAAGGGGGGCAGTACCTTCCCAGTGTGCACAGGCGCCCTGGAGACCATGCCTGGAGGAGGACAGATGTTCCACCAGGCCTGCCTGCTTTGACGGAGGCATTAATTTAAGTCCTGCAGCGCCTCCAGTAGCTGTGACTAAGCAGAAATGAAAGCAGACGGGGGTTTAACAAAGGCATCAGATCCAGGAGCTAGGAGTCCCCAATCTGATTGCTTCAAGCAGCCCTGAGCATCCCGTTTCCTGGCCCTGCCACCAGCTCGCAACTGAACTTTCTTGTCACCAATGCCTCTGATGGAAAAAGCTTTGGGACCTATGGAAGGCAAGGGATCTTGGAAGTCTGATATTAACTTTGACTTTTAAAACTAGATGTGGTGAGCAGGGCACCTGGGTGGCCCAGATGGTTAGGCATCTGCCTTCGGCTCGGGTCATGATCTCCAGGTCCTGGGATCGAGCCCCGTGTCAGGTTCCTGGCTGGCTCAGCAGGAAGTCTGCTTCTCCCTCTCCCTCTGCCTCTCCCCCTGCTTGTATGCTCTGTCTCTCTCGCTCAAATGAATAAATAAAATCTTTTAAAAAACAGATATGATGAGCAGTGGGTGTTACGCATGATAAATTACTAAACGCTCCATGTGAAACTAATGATGTACTATAAGTTGGCTAATTGAATTTAAATAAAACAATAAAAAATAAAACTAGATACTAATAGCATATGGATTTTTCTCAAGAGACACATAAGATAATCTTTGGGGAATCTTCATAACCCTGATTCAATATGATTATTGAGGTAATATGAAGTCAAAATGGTAACCCAAAGAGAAATCCTGGAAAAAAAAAATGCATGGCTTGAGATTATTATCAACAAATCTTGTTCCCCATAAAAGAGTCGACAACATAACTTTCTGAAAGTGAGCGAGCTGCTGCAGAATCCTCTTAGCCACCCCCGCCCCCCCTCCAGGGGCCTGCAGAGCCAGCGTGGGAGAGCCCACGCACCTCCACGGACCTTGCACAAAGGACGGGTCGTACGGCACAAACGCCCCACACACAGACAGGAGCCTCGAGCACTCCCTTTCTCCCAGTCTGGCACGGAAACCCTCACTGACAAGCCTCACATATTGCCAGCAGAACAGTAGGCTGCACTTGAACTCACGATGGGAGGCTCCAGGCCAGGGCCCAGCCCACAACAGGCACACAAGGGATATAAGGAGGGGATGGTCATGACATGGCTTCTTAGGGTGGCTGTTCAAGATCAAGCAAGACTATTCCGGTAGAATGCAGACTTGTGCGACGTCCCAGGGTAATGTCAGTGGGCAGGACAAGATGCACCCATCGATGGCCTCCAGGATCATGCCTGCAGATGATGCGGCTCAAACATCAACAGCGATCCACTTAGAAACCTATACAAAATGGGTTTTAACTCAACTGAAGCTCCTTGGGCGCTCTGCTGGGACATGGTTTGGTTAGAACACAGAATCTGGAGGCCAGGAGGCCTGCACCTTGCTCATGGATCAGCCACTCACTAACAGTGTGACTGGGCTAGCTCCCCATCCTCTGAAGTGTCCATTTCCGATGGGGAGTGGGGACAGTAATAAAGCCAAAGTGCTCACGAGAGTGCCGGGGTTACATTCAGTACTTAATAGGTGTTAGGAAGGTTTGCTTTTTACTTCTTCCATTATCTAACAGACAAAGCAAGCTTGCCATCAACTTTGACCTTCCTATAAATGAAGGTCACATCAGGTCATATCTACATCTCCAGATCTAATTCCTGCCCAGGGCTCTAGATCTCTGTTCCAGAGTGCTAGTTGGGCAGCTTGTCTGTTGCCAAGGAAGCATCTTCAAAGGACCTAATTGCTATCACCCCGACCCAATCCTTCTTTCCCTCTGGTCGCCCTTGGTGGACCCATTTGGCCCCACATCCACGATAACTGTGACGTTCTCCAAGGCTCCAGATTTCTTTCTCACCTCAGAATCTCTAAGAAAGTCTTGAAGATTCTGCCTCTACCATGCTCTTGCTTCTGCCCTAGTTTGAGTCTATATTGCTTACTTTCATTGTTAAAGCATCCTTCTAAAGGGTCTTACTACGCTGGTCTTACCTTCCACCTGTAGCACTAGTGTGTGCAGGTTAGTTTATAGCGTTACCCACTGTTTACAAGATAAAGTTCAAGTTCCTTAGTATGGCATTCAAAGCCTCGAGTCTGCACCACAGTTCCAGGTCCTCTGCTGCCTCTTGCGCCACAACAGATCTCCAGTTGCCTTTCTCCTTTTAAGGGCCTGTCCCCTGGCTGCCTGTAACTCGCCACCAAGACTCGGGTCAAACGTCCTCTCCTCTGTGAAGCTTCTCCATCCTCTCCCTCCTCCCAGATCCTTCACACACCTCCTTAGACCACCACGATCTCTCCAACCTCCCTGAACACGCTGAGGGTAAAAGCAGTTTGTCTTTTGTCTTTGAACCTGAAAGAGCACCTAGAAATTTGATGATCAGGGAAACAATAAATGAATGAATGAGCTGTAGCATCCTCTGGGGGGTCTCGAGAACACAGGACAACACGGGCCTGGATGGAAGGTCCAAATCACCGTCACCTCCCCCTTCTTAGAACCGTCGGTTTTCACGCAATTTGGGGATTGGGATTGGGATTTGCTACACTGCCACAAAAATCATGCTATTGAACTTTATGTCCTATATATA